TGGGACTCGAAATGTGCTGTTACTCAGGCGGGCTGTGTTATTCTGTGGTTGTGAGACATGGTCTTCGCCAGTATAGGACCTGGGGCTTCTTCAGGTATTCGACTATCAATGCTGCAGAGTGATAACTGGCCTCACTTACAGCACGAAATCCCAATGGAAAATTCGCAAGGCTCCTCACACCACCAACTACTTTTGAAGTTGTCAAAACTCCACTCACTTGTTTGACGTGCCTAGCTTTTCCCATTAATTCAGTGGATCCCGAACAGACATTCTTTTGTTGGTTATTAGAAAACAAAACAGCATCAAGGTTGTTTTTACCCGGAGCCTATGCTTGGCGGCTACGACGTCTGGTGAAAGGTCTGCAAATCGCGTCAGTGACTGCGATCGAACTGCTATCTACCACAGGTGTGGTGAAAAAATAGGCGTACCAAGAAAATGCATAGGGTTGTGGAGTTTAATCCACGTTGGTCTTATCCCCCACGGGGTGTGCCTTCTGAATCCACTGTGACATCGCAGTGGATTTGAAATTTCATTAACGATACTTTGAGGTTCAAAGGTGAGACACTGGCGAAGTTTGTTATTTACACAGGCGGTAACGAGTCCGGCATATCTTTACAACCTACGAGCCGCGCGGTAGCAGTTTTTTCATTGTTGGAAACAAATGCTATGTTGCAGGGTTTTACGGGCCATCAGCTTGAGGCTCTGGCAAAATGTATTTATGGTGGCTCAGTGGTTAGAGCGCGAGGTTACTGACCGGAAGGTCCATGGTTCGAACCCGACTTCTCTTGACTTCCCCTGTCTGGGCTTGGGCTGATAGTATCCCAGACCCCGTGATTCCTTCGGGTTGTACGGCCATTACGTACTGAAAGGGTGCTATAGCTGAATGACTATCTACTATTTATTCCACTGAAATTTATTGATTTCATGTCTTCGGTATGAGGGCACCCCGTACGTTTAAGTTCCGATTCACGTTGTCATTTATACCCTGATCGACTCAGGTAGAATTACACGGTCTCATTGTGCACTGTTAGAAGGCTGAAGATGTAATGCCAATATACCTTGTACAGATGTAATGCACATCGTAAAAGAGATATTCAACTGCGTTCCAGGTGAGTCTTCCGTTCGTACCTGTTCGTGTAGACGTCAATTGATGATCATGCATTCCCAAGAAATCAGATTGTGCCATACCGTCCTGGAGCAATTAAAAATACCACGTTGGTATACGGTAGGGGGCACAATATCAGCCCTGTTATCATCATCCGGTTGGATGAAATGACAATATTAATGTGCTGAGGTTTACTTTTGGCGATCGAACCACAACAAATAACCCTCAGGAGTGGAATACTCAGAATTGCGAAGAAACTGGTTAACAGAAGCGGTAACCGAAACATCGTCATTCCACCACAATCCAACCAAACTAAATATTCTTCTCAACGCTCAGTCTGTTCGTTTTTATTCACAGGTACCTCGATGCGGGCACCTGTTATCCATCTCATTAATCATAATAATATGCATTCTTCACATCAGTGATATTTATCGTGGTGTTGAATCGAAACTCCTCTTGCAGCTTTAGCATTGATTCCGGAACTGGAAATCGGGGCCGCTACAATGGAGCCAGATTGCATGGGTGCTATAAATGGTCCGGTCATTCTCAAAAATGACTTTGCCTAATGTCCAGCTGCAATTTTTACTAGATGATGTATCCAGGACATCCGTGATCGTGAACACTCGTTGGATCAATGTCAACACAACTGGTTACCATCGGGTTCGCGCGGACTTAGTATAGTTCAGTTTGTTCTTGATGAACTGATCCGCGTCCATTGAACGTCATCACTAAAGGACAAGGGTATGTTTAGAAAGGTATCAGGTTTCCTGAAAGCCTAAAAGGTGTTCTCTCCGATTCGTCGTGGAGAATGGTGACTATCGCCCAGATTCAAAGTCTGGAGTCACGTAGACAGCTTCATCCCCCCAGCATCAAGGCGAATTAGAACTATGTTGAATGTTTCCGGTGTTCATTCCATTTCACTGCAGACGTAGACAGTGCGTTCAGCCAACTCATGGCACAGTCCCGGAGGCACTTTCAGTGAGGCACTCACTTTGAGTTTGAAGATTTCCATTAAACCAAAATACAGCTGACCAATTGAAATTTCGTTATTGAGTAGTAATGAAGCCAATACGATCGCCCCTGTTGGGATCGGAGCCAGGACAGCACAGAAGGGCCGAAATGAAGCCCATTAACTAGGCGGTGAAACAGTCCTTATTCATGTTACAATTTATACTTCTTCGGACGTTGGAATTTCAGTTGGACGCTCACAAGTCTCTTTCAAGCCTGGCTGAAACCATGGACCATCAATAGAGTTTGAAACATACACCTAAGACTATGATATTATGTAAATACCTCATTAGAAAAGACTACAGACTAGCCCTTAGGTGAAGTCTTCATATCTTGAACCACTTAAACCTTAGTACGTTGTATTTGAGGCTATCACCACTTCCAGGTGAGATTATGTTCGTTAAGCCCGGAAATACTAAGTTGATATCGTTTTGGCACTGCGTAGGGACCAGTCGCATGTGACTTCGAGGCAAGAACTACCAACCAGACAGGTGGTTCCCTGTGTCGCAATATGCAACTGGTTAATCCATCGTTGAGAAAACCACTCCATATCGGGCACACGGGTGAAAAAATGGAATAGCTGGCGAGGTGCATCCTTTTAAGATAACGGGTTGATCTGAGAAATGGATCTTGGGGTTATCCTCAACGGCAACGAGTGTCTGCATGCTGCTACGGACAAGTCATAGGCATCAACTTTTTTTGTTAGGACAAACAGCGGTAAGACTGAATTCGGATACAACCATATACGAACGGCCCCAGAGTGCGCTATGAGAAATTTTATGGAGTATGGGAAATTCAGTGAGTTCGGCTTTCCTTGAAATTCTGCAAAATCAAACGATTTTCGCCGTATTTCTGTTGCGCTATAGGCATTCCCTTCATTCCGCCTCCCTATTCGATTCACACTCTATTCACAACCTTAAGTTTCCAAGCTTTATGACAGTTCCGATGCCCCGCATACCTAGGAAGTGAGTCGAGACTAGCCACTCCTACTGTTGGCTGATTCATTATAGAAATCACTGATTTTAGTGGGAGCATCGATATCGCCACCTAATTATCTCCAGTAAAAGCACCCTTGCATGCTGGGACACCGGCTTTAGCCCCACCGCTCCCCATCCCTGCCCGATGCTCATTCTAAGTCCATAAGACTGTCTACTGATTGATTGCTAAATTTTACTTTCAGAAAGGGAAGGGTGATGGCCTATAGAATAGCACTTCGTGACAAACCTTATTAATTATCAACCTCATATGGTCGCTGCTACGAGTACAATTAAAAGCCCGCAACTTCATAGCCATCGACTTCACCTGGTTTCAGCAGCAACTGCGTAATCCGGTAGTCATGCTCGATAATATTTGGGGTTGAACTCTAATTTACTCCATAACGAGCGATGTTTAGCCGCGACTTGGCTTTAGTCGCAAATCACTGTCCGGTGGTTCGACGAAAAACTGTACGGGATTATCGATTGAAGCATATGTTGGATGTTGGTATGTCGCATGAATCGTAATTTGAATGTACAGATTATCTGGCGCGAATACGTCGCAGAATGCCCTCACTGAAGTTGTCGTTCAAGTCTAACCCCATCGGAAGGTGTAGCCGAGCCATGCCTACCTGCGAACGGCGAATGAGATGCATGTTTTTTAGCTAATAATGTCTATCACCATGGCTGCATCCACTACTCTCCTTGCCGATGATTCAGCCTAACTGTAAGTCCAAAGCACCTGTTGAGGCATGGAAGCGCATGAGATTGCGAACGGCAGTTCTTAGTACAGGTTCCAGTATAAATAACGAGTGTGAACTATGGATTTATCTAACAAAGTCACTGTGTGACCCCTTCCTGTAACAATCGGCTGGTTCATATGGTCACTCGCAAGATGGAAGCTAATTTATGGGTGTTTTGCTAGAACCCTGTTATGATTCGAACTACTTTTAGGTTGTATATAGTTCACTCGCATGGCAATGGGGCTTGGCAGTTTTGCGTAAATTCACTCCTCTAAAGCCGGTTTTTTGCCGGTCATGCATAACAAACACTCACCTGCCTGAAACCACCAGTGCTCTAGCTTTGTAACTCACACAGATTCGCACTACGAATAAAGAGCTAGTTAGACTGGAGACAAGCATTTTATTCGATTTAATTTCACCAGCAGAGCTTGGAGAAATCCACTGTCATCATTAGCAGCTGTAAGAACCGCGTGATTGTCTTACAGTGCATGCAGCTTTCACGGTTTCGTCCATCGATGATTAAGGGAGGTATGTAGCTGCGCATTGAAGGTGGGAGTTGGAAATTGGTGCGCAAACACAGGAATCTCAGTGGTGTTTTAAGTGGAGGGAGATCAGGAAGGGAACCATGCATTGAAGGTGATAGCTTGGATGCATGAGCGCCGTCGAAGGCTCGACTGGGTCATGTCTGGCGATTTCTCTAACCATTGATGTGGCCTGTCTCGGGGTCCACATTCAGGAAGACAGTGACCAGCGCGGCTAGTAATTGTTGTTATAATTTGCTGCCACATCATTTTTTGACCTCTTCTGGCTCGTTTCCACCTTTCGCGTTCTGAAAAGGCAACCCTTCAAGGAAGTCGATCGACTAGCATACGCATCACGTGGCCAAGTCAGCGCAACGTATGCTAGCATCGGTATCGTTCGTGCCAGTTACGAGGTCTTTTCTCGGTAGTTAGTCAGAGCGGGCAGTTATACAAATGCAAATGCGGTTTCACCTACAACGCATATACGAATCCTTCTTCACAATATGTTGCGGTCTAATAAGTGTAGCTTTAAAAGCGCTGATAGGACGTTTTATTGATTTACCACATTTGAATGCACTGAGATCAACTCCGTATTGTACCACAGAAGAGCAGTAATTGTTATCGTGGATGCTGAATCGGTCATCAAAACATGCACTATCAGGACCCAGTGATTTTTGACCAATTTTGTTATCAGCCTGTACTGAATACTAACAGTCAGTCAACCACTACTTCATTGGAGAAGTACACCGCTCCGACGTTTTTGCTACCCGCGATTACTCCTTTGCGCCTGCTTTCGACCATAATTAATGAGATTGGAAGTAGTAATAGGAAGGTTTGTGAGGCTTCTCCTGTTTTTGTTGAACTGCAGCAAAACATAATAAAAATGCACACCTCAGTAGCAATCGAAGCCCATTCTTTCGTCCCGAACGAAACGTCTTTTCAGGTCACTGGAAGCATACAGAAAGTATTGAGCGCAAGAACTCCCGGGTTGTCGAGTGTATCAAGCCCTCGAACGATTCTGGTTAAAAAAGACAACGTAATTGACGGAGACGGTCAGCAGTACAACGTTGTGAGGCACTATCAAACTTTTGTTTGTATTGACCGAATGGTTAAAACGTTAAAGGCAGTACACAGTAAGTCCAAGGATATCTAGCTCAATCGCTCTATCTGCTTAGTTTTATTGACCCTATCGTGCTCTAAAGAAGTTGCTTGAGGCTGGAAAAATTTGCTCGTTAGGAATGCATCGTCAATCACTTTAGTGTATGAGCAGCAAAACTGGTTTTCCACGGGGCTACGGATGGGGCTGACTGGGGTAAGTTGAGTGTAATCGTGGGCACTGTCGCGAAACCGGTTTTAGTGCCAAAACGCATCACTGGGTCTAAATAAAGACTCCAGATGGGTATATTTAGTTAACAGAAAATACTAGCTACGTATGGTGGCATAGTTCTCAGGCAGATTTGCTATTTCCTCGATACATATTTTTCCGCACTTCCTACAAGCTAATTATTGAGTATAGTACCCCTACTTCACAAGACACGCTCCCAACGAATCTGGAAAGTTTCATTCTCTTGGGTATTACTTCTTATGATTTCCACTTGAGGAATATGTATACCACGGAATAAGCGACGTCTACCAGTAGTCCACCGTTACAATGTTAAAAACAGGGCGCGTTGATCTCGGACAATGAGCATAACTCGTCCCAATACATTTGATCAATCGGATAGCTAAACTTAGACTGAAAAGATTTTGATGGCTTAATTGAAATTCTCATAATAGTGCATGTTATGGTGGATGTGTGAGCAAGCAGCTTCCAGTTTGACAAATCGGATGATAGATACAAGTACATGAATACAGTACATGGATTGTGTTAGGTTGAAGTTGGTAAAAGTCCAGTTTGGGTACATTGAAGAGCGGGACTTGCATTGTGCTTATGCAGTAGATCACTTTTTGATCATTCGCAATTTTGTCTGTCCATTGTCCCAATCAGTTCACAGATACCCGTCTTTTATATGGGAATTTTGGTTTAGCTTATGAACAACCCATCTACTCGCTTTCCGAGCCTTGTGGTTCTTTCTTCGATCTATGACCAAGGGCACTGACCTTCCCTGAGCCATTTCAAAACATCATGGCAAGGGCTGTTGCTTCTTTCCACTTCTCAGCACTTGTCACTGATTAATCAACACTGATAATTATGTTGAGATTACGTCTCTTTCGACTCCTGGAAATCCCCCCATTTTCACAAAACCTGAAATTATGGATAGGAGATACTGTTGTTTGATTTAAAGGTAATTTCAAAGGAAACTCGAACCAGGAATACATGCAATGTACACAGAACAAGGAAACATCAGACGAATCCTCCAGCTACTAAGTAACGTCGCTGTTTTGATATACTCACCTCACCTAGAAATTTCTTGATAAAGGACACTAAATGACCCCTAGCATATGTTGTTATACATAAACTCATTGAAAATCCTAGTTCAAGGGAATTCGCTGACTGTACATCGAACATGGAGCATGACATCCTGCGTAACGCTGTAAGCTTCACATGTGAATTTCACAACGCTTCCTTTTAGATAGACTTTATAGACTTTATAAAGACCCAACCGTCTATAAATTTTGGGTTTAGTGATGATGAGTTGGAGCGTAAATTGTGTGCGTCACGATGTTATGAGTATGCACAAAACAGACTGACGTTAGAGGGCTATTCATAGGTTCCCCGGTGCATAGACACCGACTCCCATTTCGTGTATTGCTTGCGGTGCTTGCTTCCTCTTGTTTACCTCTTGTGCTTACTGAGACCAATTTCGGTGGGGTTCAATCTATAACGCCGGTTGATCTCATCACCAGTGTGAGAACCGCAGCACAGACGTATCATCTGTTTAAATAAAACTTTGTAATAAAGGGAGAAAAAGTGGACAAGGGTCCACTTCCATCCTCCCACAAAAATCCGAGGTGCCTACACCTCCGAACATTCACCCGGACAGCCTAGGCGAAAATGAACGGCTCGAACTGGTATTGATTGGTAACGTATCGGGCCACGTCCCCCGACACTGACATTGGGACCATATATATCTGGAAGGATGCGACCACTCACATTTTTTGCTGTCACTTCATAATATGCCTATGTTATATCTGCTGATTCGCCAATCTGTGGTATCTGCTGCTGATCCGCTCCAGTGCCTAGTACCGGAGAAAAAGACTCACAGAAGGGAACACCACAGCTATACTCCGAACAAGCGAGTGTGATAGCGTGAATGCGTGCAAGGGCAAAAGTACAACGTTCCCAAGCTATTTATTGGGAGAACACTGTCTGCACTTGGTCCAATGCTGACGCACACGGTCTGGCTTTGGTACGAGGCTGTGATGTGCTGCATATTGGGGGGGGGGCGTTGTATGACCTTGATGAACGCTGACTCTCGCTGCGTGGGTTTGATACAAGGCTGTGAGGCGCTGCATATTGAGGGGGCGTTGTCTGTCTGGTCAACATCTAGCGGAGCTGAGTCTCAGTAGATTCCGGGCATTCAGTGTTTGCTCTCTGGAATGTGACCCTCCTGATAGCCCATCTATTGTTTTGCGGAATTCGGCTCCTTTCGGTAAGAAATTACAAGGCGTGTAGAGCACATGACTGGGCCACTGCAGCTTGTAGTGATGTATGTAGTTCTCAGTTATGCTACATGGTGCCTCACCAACCACTTGGTCACATCCATCTGGATTTCCTCGTGCCAGACTATTCCAGGTATGGCCCTGAGATATCGATTGTCAAAGACGTGGAGTTTAATGGAGGCGTCTATAACGCTAATCAATGGAGATACAGGGACCCGGTTACATCAGCCGATATGGAACTAGAGAAACTTATACGACTCTGTAGTAGACAGCTAAACTAATTTCTAAAACAGCGAATTACGGAGCAAAAAATAGCTGAATAAAGCAGTTAGACGCGTGCAAGATAGTTTAGACTGATTTGAGCTATTCCAGAGGGTTGAAATACCTCCAACTGCAACTGCATCATCACTAAGAGACTTGATGTTACCACGGTATGACAATTTGTGCAACTCCGCGGCCAATTGAGCTATAGTAGATGTTGTTTGTGTGATATTTGCAGTCTCTCGTACCAGGTTGGTTGATGGACAGAGGCCATACTAACAAAGTCTGTTAGCTTTCTGGATTGAAGGTTTGAATAAGTGTGGCGGCGTGTCCCTTAAGAGCCCCAATCGTCCCCCTATCGGGCAGCATACCAGCTCAAATACGATAACGAACTGTATTGTAGACCACATCGGCCGACGAGTGGTCCAACCAGCCGGTTTGCGTTGCTTACTGCATAAGGCGATGAGGGTAAGCGAAGACAGACTACTGCTGGAACTCGTCATCTTTCTTTTTCTCTACCCTCGTGTTCCATTAAACGATCATTCATATAGACCTCAGCTATAAGCATGCCAGTCTGAAATCTCCCCACATCAGGCGCGTCCGGTTTTCATACCTCGTTCTTCCTTTTTTATTGCAACTTTCAATGTGTGAACTCTGAGACAAATCAGCTGTGATTCGCCATATCCCGACAGTTTATCACAGAGAGTTCCTGCGTCCCCGAAGTTCAAGTATCAAAACCCGTGTACGATAGTCGAGCTTGTGGCACGTCTGCCTTTTAGATATTACCGCTTACGAAATTCAGATGGTCATGCATCTGCTACAGCGGGCCATGCTAGCATTGGTAGGGCTCTCGGCTCCCGAGCTGAGGCTTCATTACTCCACCAGATCACTGAAAATACCCGTCCTTGTTCTGTTCGTTTGTAATTTTCGGTATTAATCCGTACTGACGGAAATAATATCCGTTCTTTACTTGTAGTTTCTGAAAATAAACCAGAAAACTGTAGCTTTGATTCGGATAAAGGCACCTTTTGTTTAGAAGTAAGAATTCCTTTATGCAGTGCGCAGATCTCAGATACTGTCCTGGTAATATCGAATTCAAAAAATAGGGCGTCTGAAGCATGACTTAGCAGCCAGTTCAACTCGGAATCAGAATGTAGCAACACTGGTCAACGTCTTTGTGGCTTTGCACTGGCCGTTGTTTTTTCTTCAGTAGTAGTGGATGTAGAAGTACCAGATGTCATTGCGCCAACTAGCACCTCCATAGTGACGGTCAATGACGGATCCTGATTGACCTCATAACTATTAGAACCCTGTGGCAAGACTCGATTCTTGACTGCTGATCAGTCTGTACCACTGACATCGGTTCAAATCATGCCTTCGTCCACCATGAATTTTTGATTAGTCTCCGAGGGAAACCAAAGGAGCGAGCTCCTCTTTAATTTATTGAACAACTTTCTGACTCGCTGGTTAAACAACCCTTTCAGACTAGCCTTTACGGAGTCTTGAAGGTCACTTCATTAAAAGATTATTCGTAACTTCGGGGATGTAGGCGATACCGTTCACACAGCTGGGAATGCCGTGTCTATTATTTCTGAAGGCCCACAAAATGAACACTGGGTTCTAGGGGGTGGGTGGGCGGGTAGGTAATAGCCGGTGCCTGATGCAAGAATTTGTACTCCTTTGAGTGCTGGACACAACGCGGCGATAAGGGTTTTTAGACGACAGCTATAGCATAATATGTGAATAGCTGGGTAAACCTGGTGGGATCAGAGGACTTGGAAGTGAAGGAAGCTACTGCAGCTCATTGTCCTGGAAACTTTCCACCTTATATACCAAACGGAGCAGATAACAATCGACTACAAGTGAGGTCATCAAAGACAATAATGGAAATTTCATTCATAGCAAAAATCATCCTCTTAACCACTGGAATGAGTATTTTGGACAACTCCTTAAATGGCCGTCTGCCCCTGTACCAGTGTCCTCATTTGACTTTACTTGAGCCGTGGTCTGCGTGTTTAGACCTTCTTTCGGTTGCGGAAGTACTAATATGCCTTTCTGCGTCCAGATGGATGGAGTCCAACCAGCGTCGTTAAAAAACGGCGATGAGCCTGTTTGTTTAGTCTTGACCAGATAGTTTAAACGGACTTGAGAACCAAAATGCGTTCCGAATATACAGGATAATCAATCCATCGTACTTTTACCGAACATAGTGCTGGGAGCTACAGCTCCAAACACAGGGGTATGGGCCTTACTCCAGTCGTAACACAGCTACTAGCTTCAATGATGGCGAGATCTGGTCTCACTATGTGAGATGTAACTCCGAGGACATCGGGCAAGATTTCAGCGAAGAAGGATGTGGATTGAGAATGTATTCCTAGCACATTAAAAGCTCGGGCAGCGTAATAAATACCGCCGACCAACTGTGGCGAATTTCCTTCAATTCAAAGGAGGCTTCGAATCCGAGGATATGTCGGCTCATATATATATAT